AACGGGGGTTTGGGGTTTTTTTGGGTGTGGGGTTTTGTGGGGTGCTTTGGTGCGTTTCTTTATGAAAAGGCTGTAAACCAAGAGGGGAAAGCGGCTGCAGGAGGGGCCGTGTGCCACCGTTTCCCACCCCCACCAGGTTCCTCCACCACAAGTCTCAAGTTCAGCAAGTGGGAGCTAAATAAACACAGAAACACGTATTTCCTTCTTTCGGTCAGAAATAGACACTCTCCACCTACACCAAATGACCTCTGTCCTCTCTTCAGCCAGGATCCAAGGAGTGTTTTTAGCTCAGGAGCAGAAAACCGAGGTAGACATTTCTGCTATGAAGACGTCCACCAAAGATGCAGCACTGCCAACACCCAGGCCATTGACCTGAATCAATCTTAACTATGGTTATGTTCAACGCTCTGACCTAAATCTCCTTTTCTGCACGAACCAGCTCTCTCAGAGGGTTTTTAGCACACGCAGAGTGAGCCCAGCTGCCAAGCAGACAACACATCTAACCACAACAATGCCACCCCAAACATTCTGCCTCATGCAATATGGAGTCCACCAAAACGGAGCACGGACCAAGCCATTCCTCAGTCTGTGAACCATGGCTTTACAAAGCTGCCAAGCTCCACACACAGTCAGAAATGATCCAACAGTCCCCTCTAGCAGCTGATGAGTAGAACAAAAACCATACGGTACCCCCGAATGCAATAGAAGTGGGGATGAATTGTCACCTCCCCACTTGTGAACGCACCATTGGCTCCACAATGTTACAGATATGGTGGTGGGGACCATTTCAGCCTGTGAGCAGCAGCAGATGCTCTCCAGCATAAGCCCAGGTCAGGCACTGCTCCTCACCTCCACTATGTTGGTTGCAGAGAGGAAGGAACGAGGGATAGCAGGTTTAGGAGGCCCAAAGCCCTCATACACAAATGATTTGGGGCATCTGACTTCTGTTAAAATCTGTGGGAATAGGATGCTCATCTTGCCCTTTGGATCTATGCCCAAGGTTTTCAGGACTTCAGCTAGAAAATCAAGAGGTTAAGAGGCAGAAGGACTTGGCTCCAGTCCCACTTCTCCTCCTCCACAAGAGCAGCCCACCAGTCATGGGAGGTGCTGCCATATGCTCTACCTGCCTCCCCAAATCCATCATGCTTGAGTGACCAAGTGACAGGCTGAAGTCCTTTCCGTGAACCTGTACACAGCTGAAAAACCACACACCAAAGCTGAGCCATTTCAGAGCTGGCTCCTCACTGACAACAGTCCTCCTGAGCCATTCCCATGGCGAAGGGGCACATTCCTACACCAGGAGACCTGCTGGAAAGCAGAGGGGCCAGACGGAAGCTGCCTTAGGTCTGGGAGGGAATTTTTATTCAGGAAATCACAGTACCAAACGCAAGGGCACTGCAAGAGCTCCCTCTGCCACGAGCCAAGGCTCTTAGCTCTGGCAACAGCCCGTGCCTCCTCTCCCCATTAGCTCCAGAGCTCCCAGTTTAGGAGCCATGGGTCCATCCTCGGGAGTGAAGCACGCTCAGGAACAGAGCTGTTGGGTGGTGTGTACAGCACCACCAGCCAAAGGCTGTGTTCAAGTCCAGTGGACACAACAGCTCCTATCTGGCTGCATAAACGGTCAATTTCATGCCAAACATTTGTTCCGTTGGAGAATCACTAGCTCATCATCTTCCCCATTATTGAAATTTCTAAACCGGTGTTGCACCAGGAGATGTATTTGTTCTGCATACAAGCACCCCATAAGGGCTTTAACCTGGGGCTTAAATAGCTACAGGCAAAGGAAAAATATCTATGCAAGTGAGCGAAGACAATTACACAACCAGGCCTCAGACCATAAACTCCAAGTCCCTCACACGTTCTCTGCCCCATTGTCTGCCTGAACTGTTGCAGAGCCTTCTACCTCTGACTCTGCTGTCTTCCCAGCACTACCTGCAAGTCAGATTTGTCCGTACCAGGGGTCCCCAGCCCTGCTCATTTGCAGGAATCTTTGCCTCAGGTGGGCTTTGGGTTCAGAAGTAACTGCTGATGAGACAGATGGGAAGGCTGAGCAGTCAGCCAGGAACCAAGCCTTGAGGCTGAAGGGCAGGAGGATGCTCACAAACACCAGTGCCCCAGGTAGGCTTTGCCTTCTTCAGCTGACTCCACAACATAACCCTCAAGTCAATCCCATCTAATTCAGCAAGGATTTCAGAAGTCTCCTGGTGCTTCTAGAAGCTATGAGTACTCATCTTACAAACAAAAGGAGAGTGTCTATCTCCACTGAAAGCAAGAATATGGGTCAACTTCTTTTTTAAAGCATTTTCCCCCACTGATAATCAGTACAACACGGGCCAGGAAGAGATATGGATACTGGCTAGCTCTTGGACAGCAAGCTGGGTGCACAACTCATGCTGACCTCAAAGACACAGCAGCATTGCATCTCCCACTGCCAGGAAGGAGGTCACTCTTCACTCACGAGCAAAACCAGACCCAACTCCAAGACCCCTTTCAAGAGGCCAGAAACACCCACCCCAAGCCCCTACAGCAGATTACACTGTAAGAAGAGATAAATGAGGGGTTACTTACTATAGGAGTAGCTGCTAACTTCAGATATTGCTGGTGAATGGGAAACCTTGAGCTGATTTTTGACTTTTAACCCCACCTCCATCTTCTTCATTTTGGCAGCAACTTTGCTTTTACCTTCCTTGCTGGTTTTCAATGACAGGCCCAAGTTCTTGGCCAGGCTCTTCTTCTCCTCCTTGCTTGGTAGAGCCTCGTGGGGTGGGAGGTACCTGCTGCCACCTCCACTAGTTTTTGGCTTTCCTCCGGAGCTGTCGGCAAACTTGAAGGGGGATTTGAGCTTGTCTTGTTTGGTGAGTGACAGGGCTTTGTCAAGCTTGCTGGCTAGCTGCTCCTGATCCGATGGCACCTTCTTCTTTTTGAGCTTTAACTGCCGAGGTGAAAGGAAGAGGCACAGGTGAACACAGAGCAGGTATCCCGACAGACCTGAGGGATTTTACTAGCCCTCACAGCAGTCCCTCATGCACGCCAGTTAGTAAGGCCTCAAAATGATGCTCTTAGGCCCCAGTTGCCATAACCCACCATAGCACTAGGGAGGAAGAAGAGGAAGATGTCAGCAAACAGCACAGCTTTACCCTTATCAAGCGCTACAAAACTGCATGATTAACTGAGGAAATTCAAATTTCCTTCCGACAGAAATAAGTTCAGAGGACAACATGTTCTGGAGTTCTTTTTTTCTGAACACCTTCTGGTTTTTAGGATATGTCTGGGTTGGTTTTACAAGCGTTTCTCTAAATCACGAGGATTAAAAAATCTTCTTTACCCAAAACCCCAGCCAAATAAAAAAGGATTTCCACATAATCAACCAGCTCCAGAAGCTGGGCTGCCAAAAAGACCCAAATACCTCTCAGCAAGAGCATCAGCACCACTGCATTACAGCCAACGCCGTTACAGCCTTTTCAGTATTTTCTTGCTTCTTGAAAAAAAGTAAATATACTTTACATGTGCTACAGCTAGATAACAGCAGCTGTAACTCTGGACTTCGCCTGTGTGCATTTTGGATTTCATCAGCAGCTTAAAGCTCCAGTAAACCTCCCGTTGCCTCAAGAGGAGCAGCAGAAAACCCTGCATTTAGAACAGCGAGGCTGCGCTGCCTTGCCTCCCTCGCTTTGGGAAGTCCACTCCCCTCCACGGTCTCCAGAGGCACAGGGGTAAGACAAACACTGCTCTGGATTCAGACCTGGGGCAACACCACAATGCTCCGGCTGGCCTGAAGGCACTTGCCCCTCTGCTGCCTAACAAAGAGGTCCAAGCTCCATAAGCCAACATCAGCCTTTGTGAACACCCCTCTGCTGCACAGACAGCCCTCTCACAAAGAGCTTCTAAAGCCACAGGAACTCAGAGCAGACACTCTCAGGTCAGGAGTTATCCAGTGCAAGGCAACACCAGCAAAGCAGGAAAGAGATCTGCTTCTGGCCCATGGCTCCACGTTCCCCATGAGGGCACTGACCTCATTTGAGAAGCCGGGAGCCGCATCATGCTCTTCCCAGCTCTGGTTCCTCCCTTTCATCTTGCCACTGCTGCTCTCCACATCCTCGTCCTCCTCCAGGAGGGCCCCTTTGTGCCTCTTCTTCATGCCCTCGCCAGTCTCAGAGTCTTCGGAGAGCAACAAGGACTTGCTCAGTCTGCAAGCCAAGCACAGGATGGGTCAAGGTGGAGGGCTTTCCTCCCTGTGATCCCCACCAAGCTCAAAAGTGAGGTTAAACATCTCCTAGGACAGTGGGGATGCTCAGCAGGAGCCAAGTCCACTGGGAGGTGACAGCAGTCTGGACAAGGCTTTTCACCAAAGAGGAGCCAAGGAGCCCTTCTTGCAACACTCTTGGCCACCAGCACAGATGAGGGTGCCTGACACCAGAGACCTCCAAGGTGGTCTCTGAAAGGAATTATTTGGTGTCTTGAGTAACAGCCACCAAAAAGTGCCTGGTTTGGTACAGAGCAGCAGAGGGAAAGGACAGAGAGCTGAGCTGGCCCTGCAGGTCCTTTGCCACCTCTACTTTAATGGACTCTATAGGTGCAGAGAGATTGCTGAGGCCAGGGAGGTGCCTCACTGCCCAGGCACTTGCTCTGGCTTGGGTACGAGCAAGGAGGTGGTAAGGAACTGGCACACAGGGTGACACAGTGGGGACAAGGGCACTGCAGGCACTGGCTCACTCAAAGGACAGGCAATGTGCTCTGCAAGCCCTGCTGCTCGGTGAGAGACGTGTGATGGACATTCTCATTCTCCTTTTGGGATTTGGAGGGAAAGGAGAGGGTAAATAAATAATTTTAAAACAAAACCAAAAAAAACAAACAAAAAAAAAGAAAAATAAAGTAGGTGAGACTATAAGCACATCTTTCACTGCTCCCCAGCTGTCTCCAGTAACTATCCAATGGATGACCAGTCAACACCACACAACCTCTACCAAGCCTCCACTAACACCTCTCCTACACGGCCTCCCTCAGCCAAGCCTGCTGGCCCAGGTCACACCACCACCACAAAGCCACTGACATGGGGCAGCCTCCTCAGCTTCCAGACACTTCCCCTCCCCTCCAGCCCCTCTGCTGACCTCCGCAGGCAGCTAAACCAACACCTCAGGCCACGGGCATTGGCTGCAGGTGCCTCTCCACCTCCCACACCAGGCTGCTCAAGCATCCCCGTGATGTGGGGATGTGCACACACAACACCATCATGCACGTGTACGTGCACAACTCCAGCCACTTCCAGATGCCTCCAGCCTTGTCCAGCCATCCAAACAAGGAGCAAAACAGAGAGCCACCAAGAGGACAGATTTTGAGAAGAGCTCGGTCAGTGGGAGCTGGGCACCTGAACCTACTCTGTAGTCTTGAAAGGACATTTGTAAAATTACGTAGCACGCAGGGAGGCAGCTTGGAGGTGCCTTCCCACTGGAGAGACCTGGCCACCTATGGATGGCCAACTGTGGTGAGATCCAGGCATCCAAACAAGAGCAGCTGAGCTTGCAAAAGAGAAAAAAAGCAGAAGAGAAAATGATGCAGACACTTGAAAGAGAGAGCTCAGGCAAACCCAACTCCCACTGATAAAAGGATCAGAGATGAAGATGGCAGAAACACAGCAGAAAGGCCCTACCACCTAAGTAACCTGGAGCAGCCCTGTCCTTCCAGTTTTTGACATCACCATCCCTGCCACCAGCTCTACAGCACCTGCTTGCAGCACCTGCTGTCCTGAAGCCACACGAGGAACACGCTCCCCGACACCAAGAGCTCAGCTACAGGTCCCTGCCCAGCCGGCTGCTCCGTTACCACCTCACCACTGCTCTGAGCCCGTGCTCCTTGCACCCAGCACCAGCCTCGTGCTGTGCCAGGCGGGCAGGAGGACGCTGGCACCACGCTCCCACCACAAGGACACGCTGATGGTGAATTCACACGTCTCCACGACACCACTGCTGCCAGAGGCCAGGCTGCTGACACAACGCCACGGCGAGCCCCCGCTGCATCCGAGACGCTCTCCCCAAGCAAGACCCTGGCGCAGCGACCCTGCCGTGTTCCCATCTTCCCCAAATTCCAGCCTTACTTTCCACTCTTGCTGTCACTCTTCCCTCTCTCCTTAATGGGTGACAGAGCGCTCGATCCAAGTTTCCTCTTCCTGGGCCTTCCAGGGCCTCTTCTCGCCAAGCTTCTACTTTTCTCGTCATGCTTTTCCCTTTAAAAAAACCACACGCTTCACTGTTAACCAAGGCAGAAAGAAAGAAAAAAAAATAAAGCAAAGAAAAAAAAAAAAAGGCAAAATCCAAATTTTGCAACCAAAAATAAAAAAAAGGCAAACCAACCAGAAATCGAAAATAAATAAAGCAAATAAATCCGAAAAGAAGCAAAATGGAAAAGAATGAAAAGAAAGCAAGCAAAGAACGGGAGCCAAACCAGAACCTTCGCCTGTCACCAAACTGCTAAACTGAGCTGCTGAAGCCAAGGTTGTCTCTACCAGGGTCTCCCAGCTGCGTTCACCAGCCACCAGGTTGTTTTGTCACATAGCCTAGGAGTGTGTGGTGCAAAGCTCTGGCGGGCCAAACCAGGAGGAGAGGAGAGGAGACAGGGAGGGATGGAGGGCTCTTTTCTCTCCGGGACCGAGAGGCAGTGAAAGTGCCCACAGCTGGAAAAAAAAAGGCCTGAGTGAGCAGCCTGTGACTTACTCGGAGTCCCTGCGGCGCTGCAGCTTCACCAGCTCCCGCTGCTTCTCCTTGTAGCGCCGCTGCAGCTCCGCCAGCCTCATCCTGTCGTCCAACTCCATCGTGTGCCCGCCCCTGCACCCCCCCCAGCCTCATCCTGTAGTCCAGCTCCATGGCGTCCATGTTCTCGATGGCCGACTTGATGGAGTACATCTAGGGTGGGGAGCCAAGAGGGGGAGAGAAGGTCAGGACACGTCCAGGCCCTCACCCGGGCTGGGGTGCCCGTGCAACGGCCGAGGTCTGCAGCTCCCCATGCCCGCCGTGGAGCAGGGCAGCTGTGCCCACAGCACACACGGCCCTCGAGCAGTGCCCGAGCAAAACCAGCCAAGCAAAGATGTTCTGTGGCTTACGCACGCGATGGTGTCAGCTTTGAGGGAGAGCAACCCTGGGAAAGAACCTGCAGGCTAAAAGACACACCACGCAGTCTCTTTTCCCTTATTTAAAAAGACAGATCAAAACATTCGCTGTCTTCAAACACCTCCTTGCCAGGTACAAAATAATTTCTCACTTTCTCCCATGGGGAAGAGCCACCAAGGAAAAAAAAAAACAAGAAAAAAACCTTCTTGCCACCATCTTTATTATCCCTCCCTACCAAAGCAGTAACACGAGAGCTCCTGCTGGCTTTGTGTTAGGAACACCACCTCCAAGGCTGCCGAGGGCGGTGCTGAGGCACCAAGGAGGGAGGAAGCCAAAGCACAGCACACATCAACCCCGTGCACCGACGAGGCCAATGCTCAGCACCCAAGGGTGGCCCAGGCTGGGTGGCAAACGGTGGCTGGAGGAGCAAGCTGCAGCGAGGGGACACGCTGTGGGTTTCCAGGCTCAGCCACACTAAGGGCTACTTACGGGTTCATCTTTCTTCTGCATCCAGCTGTACTTTTTGTTGGGATTCAGCTCTCGAGGCAGCCGGATGGTTTTCAGACTTTCCATAAAGGGGGTTGAAAGTACTTCCATGAGCATGTGGGTGCTGGCAGCCAGCAAACTCTCCAGCGTTGGCCGGACAGGGAAACTCTCTGGACCTGCTGGGAAGGACAGGAAATAAAAAAAAAGCTACAGAAGTTCACCTTCCAAGATTGCTCCTCCAGCAGGCACGAGGAGAGACTGATGTCCCCTTCCGGAGCATGGCAGCTCGAGCAGTCCCCAGCCACCCTTGGCCCCCACTCGAGCTCTCCTGTTGTACCCAGCCATGGTGCGACTGGCAGTTCCCACCACGTCTTGCCTCAGGAAGTTACTGGAAGGTGAGATCTTTTAAGGGCCTGCCAAGCTCTTGGAAAGCATCATCTGGAGCTACTGGGACCTCTTGTGCCAAACCCTGACAGACTGTAGCCTCGGTGCCTGCCAGAAGGGTGTTACCCTGGCAGCTCTCTGCAAGTGGGGCTCCACTTCCTCTGCGCATACCACAAACTGTCTAGACACGGCGAGCGCCTTTGGAAGGGGAGAGCAGGACAAAAGCCACACGTAGCTCAGCCTACTGCAACAAAAACTCCACTCCAACCCCATCCAAAGCACCAGCCACTCCTGCAGATCAGGGCAATCATCTCCTTGCTGCCTGGCTGAGGCTGCAAGAGACTCCGCCTGTGCCTCTGCTCCTGTCAGAGTTCAGGGACCACATGCAGGGAGACCCAAGCTGGCCCAAGGCTGGTCAGACCCCACGCTCACAACTTACTCTGCATTTCTTGCTTCCTTTTCTCCAGCTCCATCTCTGCAATTTCACTCAGCAAAGTGATCCCTTGCAGGAAGGAGTGCTCCAAGGCCTGGTCAGGTAACACCTCCACCTTCACTTGGGACGGAGTGACACTGGTGGTAGTCAACAAGGAACAAGCCTGAGGCATTTCTGTGGCAGCCACCAAAGCGTTCATCCCAGCCAGCGGGTCGCCCGGCTTGATGTCCAGAGCTGGCATTTGGCAAGAGATCAGTAGGGAGGGACCTCTGGCCCCTGCTCCCCCTCCTCGGGGGGCAGGCTGGGGAACTCCCTGCCCCGGGGCACGTCGGCGCTCTGCAGATCCATGGCCACAGAGGCTTCCTCCCGCTGCGGCGTCAAGTCCATCGCGGGCGGCTCGTTCTCCGCGCGCACGAGCGGCCCGTCGTAGTCCATGTGCATGGAGCAGGTTTCTGCTCCACCCCTCCTCGGGGGGCAGGCTGGGGAACTCCCTGCCCCGGGGCACGTCGGCGCTCTGCAGATCCATGGCCACAGAGGCTTCCTCCCGCTGCGGCGTCAAGTCCATCGCGGGCGGCTCGTTCTCCGCGCGCACGAGCGGCCCGTCGTAGTCCATGTGCATGGAGCAGGTTTCTGCTCCAGCCCCGCTCTCTGCCTGAGCCTCTGCTTCTGCAGGGCAGGGCACAACCTGGTAAGGAGGTGGGCAGCTCTGGAGGTCTTCCCGGTCCTGCTCCATAGCACCCAGGGCTTCGCCCTGGTGCAACAGGAGGTTGCAACTGTCGACGTTCTGCACCGGGACGGCTGCGGAGGGGGCGATGTTCAGAGTCCCCATGTCCTGCTCGCAGATGTCTTCTTGGCTTTCCTCCATCTGCACCTCTGACTTCACCCTCTCTTCCAAAGACTCCTCTTCTGCTGCTGTTTGGATGGGCTCTAGCATTTTGGACGGAGACAGGTGGATGGGCTTGACCTCTGGGGAAAGCTCCATGTGCTCAGAGCCTTCAGCGGGCAGTGGGACGTCAGGAGCCAGGCCATCTGCATCAGAGGCTGCAGTGGGCCGGAGGAGGTAGGGATAGTGTCTTCCGAAGGAGGGAGGCAGGGACTGGAATGGATATCCCGGGGGGATCTCTGCAAGACACCAGAAGGGACAGGCTGTGTAATGGCCAGGTCTCCAAAGCACCTTCTCTCTCACTAAGGCATAGTGACGGGTTCCCTTCACTTCCATCATCTCTGGTCTCTTCCCGTTCTCAAGCAGTAGCTGCTTTGGGCATCTCTGTCCTGGCCAAGCTGCCACAGGCAGCCACCTCTGCCGTGCCCAACCTGCCACAGGCAGCAGCACCCCAGAGGTCCCTTCCGCACCTTTCCAGCACTCTCTTGAAACTGGAGAGATCTGCCTCTTGTATCCTTCTCCCACTGAGACTTCAGCCCTGGAGGAACCAACCCAGGCTCAACCAAAGGGAAGAAGACAGCTCACAGCCCCAGGTGCCCCTATGGCCCAGGCATCGACCCCTGGTCCTTGCCTCTCCCCTGCCTTTTTGAGGAGCTATGTGGTTTTCTCTAGGGGAAGGGATGGAAGCAGGAAAGAGCCAAGGAGAAAAAGGGAGGCAGGCACAAACACAACGGGACTCTGCCAAAGCAGGGCTCTCTTACCTGGGAACAAGGCCTGATATGGACCAGCAGCCTCTTTTTCCAGCTCCAGGTCTTTCTTCTCCACGGTCTCGGGCGCCTCTTCCTTTGGAGGGATGGCAGGGGCAGGGGGTGGAGAGG